CAAATGCAATAAAGGGTAGGCAGAGATCAAAGGTATTGTGAAAATTATTTGATGTTTTGATATCTCTTGTTAAATGCGGGTGCATTGTGGTTAGCTATAGAAAGGGTATATAATATTGTCTCTGTGCGCGACGGTGGCAACGCGTAGTGTTTACAACATTTGCGGAATAAGACAAATAATAACAATGTAAACATTATAATTACCTTTGCAAATATAAATAAAATCAAAGATTGAAATAGTATTGTTGACATTATTTAAGTGCAATTTATTCAATAGTTTTACTGTAAAATGAATATAATAATAAAAACCGGGTTTGCATCATCCGCATTTGTTTCCAATTTCTGCCGTGTTGTGCGCTGCGGTCGTTATCTGTCCGCCACTACTCGCTTTGCACATAGCCAATAGTAAGATAAGGTTTTAACTACTATCTTTATTTAACTCTATTTTTAAGGGGCTTTTTATTACTTGTTTTTTAAACTAGATATTTGAATTAACACTGCCGGACTGCCTCATTGGCCGAGTCGTCGCAAGTGCGACTGCTGGGCAAGGGGTCTCGGGTTCGATTCCCGGGTCGGGCAAAGTATTACTGAGTTTGTAAAAACCTCAGTAGTAGCACGGAGTCTGGAAATGTGCCCGGTATATGTCAAAAGGCTCACCCCCTATTACATGGGACTCATAACATAAATAGTGAAAAGTGGGTGTTACATTGTACAGTGGGGCTAAAAATATAATAAGGCTTATTTTCTTTTATATTATACTTTTATTTTCCATATAATATTATATCATAGACTGCCTCATTGGCCGAGTGGTCGCAAGTGCGACTGCCGGGCAAGGGGTCTCGGGTTCGATTCCCGGGTCGGGCAAAGTATTACTGAGTTTGTAAAAACCTCAGTAGTAGCACGGAGTCTGGAAATGTGCCCGGTATATGTCAAAAGGCTCACCCCCTATTACATGGGACTCATAACATAAATAGTGAAAAGTGGGTGTTACATTGTACAGTGGCATTAAGTGCCACTGCCTACCCCTTCGGGGATAAAAGGCGTGATGTTATGTTATATTATGTATATGAATTAATTGAAAATCGCGTGTAACTCTTGTGAATGTACTTAGAAAAGCTCTACTAGGGAATGCAAATCAAAGATTAAGGCTCAAACGAGATCTCGCGAACTAGAAGACTATGCGACAGACAATTTTAACATTTCAATGTTTTATTTTAACGTTCTAAACTAGTCTAATTGAAATTAGACTAGTAAGGCACTTTGACTCAGATTTTGACTTTTTTTATAGCATAAGCCGGTTAACGAGCAGACGAATCACCTGATGGTAAGCAATCGGCGTCGCCCATAGACACCAGAGGCGTTACAAGTGCGTTACCGGTCTTTTGGGGATTAGGAGTTTGAGGAACGTTGGGGATTCAGGAATTGGGGCGATTGGGGAAGGGAAGGGTAATTGGGCCTCCGGTAATCTCACTCACACGACGAAACACAACGCAAGCGTTGCTTCACGTCGGTTTTCTGTGGGGCCGTGGTATCACTCCGGTCGAGCCGGCCCATTTGTGCCGAAGCATGGCTCTCACACACTTAAATATTTTTGAATATCAAGCAAAAATCCTTTACCTAAAAATGGACAAGTTGTCATAATAACGAGATCTCGCGATATCAAGATTGCATTCTCTAAGCCCTATTAGTTTCGAACCACAAAGTGGTCAGTAGGCTGCGAAGAACTACACCACCAAGAACAACGCACCTGTGACTCCTCTGGTGTTGCGGGTGTCCATAGTCAGCGCTGATTGCTTACCATCAGGTGATCCGTCGGCTCGTTTGCCATCTATTCCATAAAAAAAAGAAAGAGCCCCTCTATAGCTCGGGTTTTCTCAGTATATTCACGTGAGTAACCCACGATTTTTAGTTAATTTAGTATCTCTCACGATAGTTATTATAAAAACATAGGTATTTGAACCTCTCAATTTATACCTCTTTTTCTGTTATGCTCCGGTATACGGGAATATGCTCACCCCCTATTATATGGGACTCATAACATAAATAGTGAAAAGTGGGTGTTACAATATACAGTGGCATAATGTGCAACTCTGCCTACCCCTTGGGGGATAAGATAAGTGATGTATGTTATGCGTTAAAAGAAAATACTCCATCGATTTCTCACCAGTAAGATAGCTGGGACGGCCGAGCAGAATCCTGCCGACGATACCGGCCTGGTGAGCACCGACACTGTATCCCAAGAATTTATACCTCTTTTTTTGTTATACTCCGGTATACGGGAATATGCTCACCCCCTATTATATGGGTCTCATAACATAAATAGTGAAAAGTGGATGTTACATTGTACAGCGGCATTAAGTGTCGTAATGTGCACCACTCATAAAAGGCGTGATGATAATGTTATGTACAAATTTTCCCAATTCCCGGAAAAGCATTTCAGGTAGGACTACTTTAAGGAACAGAGTGTATAGTTCCCTAAGATCGGAAAAGGTGGATCCTTCGACCAGGCGAGGTGATCGTGCCTGGTGGGCTTTCTGCCCAACTGTTGTTCGTTGGGATTTTCTATCCGTGTTAATTCGCATGTAAACTTGACATGTGTGATGTGATATTTTGTGACGTCATCCTTTGACTTGTTTTATCGATAGTCTATTTGTGTGAACTGTCATTTGACGTGTGATATTCGCCACATTACCAAGAATAGAATAGAATAGAATAGAATCTTTATTTGCATAAAATGTAGGTACATAATGGTGATAATAATAACATAGTCAAGGTGCCATATACATCTTGCCGCTTGGCGACATGCAAATCTTTATACAGTTCAAATACTTATCACAGAAATAGAACATTTAACAATTTATCTAAATTATAAGTTTACAGTCTATACCTCACAGATCGCTCACAATTGTAGAATTTACATGGGTTTTTTGCTAGAAATTCGTCAACTGAGTAAAAACATTGCTGACATAACCATTTTCTTAGCATTACACTAAATTTATTTGAAGGTAGTCCGGAGATAGTTTTTGGTAAAGAGTTATATATTAAGGGACCCATGTAAATACAGCTTCGTCTAAATAACTCTAATCTAGGAACAGGTAACTGAAATTCTAGATGAGTAAATTACTGAACTACAGGTTTTACAGTCCAAAAAGTTAAAGTCAAAGTCAAAGCATTTATTTCACTTAAACTGTCAAACACCAAGCGGTCACCGGTGACCGCAACCTGTTGTTCTATAATTGTGTCTACAAAGACGGTACTCAACGAGTTAAACCATAGTTTGGTACTTATGAAACGTCAACAAATACAAAATAAATAATAGTCTGTCAGTCAGACCGTCAGTGAAGCTAGGTGAAGCTAGGTGCTCATTCCAAAACGTAGATTCGAATGTAGAAGAACGAGCAAGAAACTCCATATAACATTCATAGGTGCAGTGTTATTTCAGTCGGACGATTCTATTTTAAAATCTATACTTCCAGACAAAAGGGTGTGTCTCCAGTGTTAGCGTGTAGCGGGAGACGCGAGTTTTTTTTTATTATAAAACGTTGCCCCACATTAGGATTTTCGCCTGTGTAGTAGGCACGTTGACAAACATACAAGTTCACATACACAATGACACCCAGATCAGAAACAACAATTTGTGGATATCACAAAGTACTGTTCCGTGTGGGAATCGAACCCGCGACACGTTGCACGGTAGCCAGTTGCCCAGCTACCGTACCAACCGTATAATCAAAGTTTGTTCGTCGAAACTCCAATAATGATCAGTTAAATATTTTTTTTTATTTTTAAGGAGGCCAAATCATCGAATTACTGCTCTCGCCTGGGTGAGGCGGGAGGGAGTGTCAGACTCTTACAGACTAAAAACCACCCCGTTCCTTCTCCTGCACGTCGAGCCAGAGCCCCGGTTACCCGTTAGGTTCCCCGCGACTTACCCGTTAGGTACTCCGCGACAAAAAAAAAATGTATAAAAGGCAATTTTACAAAGAGGTGTCATTGCGAATTTTGATTTCTGTAATTCACAATCCAAAGGCGTTCCATAGTTTCTACCTAATCTCCATGAGCAACGCATTTGCAGAGCATTCGCCTGATATTGACGCGCCCTAAGGGGTTAATAGGAGTAGATTATTCATCCGCTTATGAAATCCGCTGTCACTGGCAATGCATCTTAAAACCGAACTCGATAAATTTTAGACAGAGACAGAATATAAAGGCGTGGCTTCCATTTGTCTTAAGTTTCCATATGAAGGAAAGAGATAGACATACATTTAAGATTTTCTATCCTATAAGAAATTAAATTGAATAATATTACAGTTAGTATAAAGCTTAGTCTTTCAAGGGGTAGGTAGAGATGTAAGTCTTATGTGATTTATTTTTATTGGTTATGTAAATATTGGAATTGTTTTGTCGCGTTGGTAGTGAGGTCGTAAGTGCAACTGCTGAGTGTAGGGTAATTGTAACGCCTCTGGTGTTCCAGGTGTCCATGGGCAGCGCCGATTGCTTACCATCAGGTGATCCATCTGCTCGTTTACCGGCTCATCTCATAAAAAAGTAAATGTACCACTGTTGAGCAAAGGCCTCTTCTCATAAGGAGAAGGTTTGAGCATTAATCACCACGCTTCTTCAAGGCAGTATGTAATAGGGTAGATTCCTAATTTTTATTTTAATGTCCGTCTGGTAGATTATTTTAAATCATTAGACACGTATTTTTTATTTTCTTACAGATACGAATACTTTCCACGATATATTGATTTGAAATGTCGCGTGACGTCACTTCTATGTACATTTTATACGTAGAAATGACGTTTTAGCGCACACTCTTAAACTTTGATTCGTTTTATCTAAGTATTGTTTTGTTATACGACAAAATAAAAAAATACGTGTCTAATATTTTTCACTACCTAACTGACGGACTAATTATATTTTTAATTTTCATACCCTGTCATCATTCTAATTCCCAACTAAAGTCGTTAAGCAATAAGGTATGAAATAAAAAACAAAATATAATCATTTAAAGGAGATTTTAATTATAAATAATATAATTAATTATTTTCTGTCTGTCTGTCTGTCATGGTGCTTGGCTTCTAACTTAACCCTGGGAGAAGGGAGGGGAGCCGTTGGTACGAACGTAGTAGATACCCTTGGATCTGGAAAGAGAGAAAGGAAATTACTTGTTAATCATCAATATCATTTAGCATCAGGCTGTAACTGTTCCACTGCTGGAAAGAGCTCACGACTTCTCTTCTCGCAATAAGAAGGAATTAGAAGATTTTTTCATGGCGTAAACTATGACAAATCACCTGATGGTAAGCAATCGGCGTCACACATGAACACCTGAAACATCAGGGGCGTTACAAGTGCGTTACCGGCCTTTTGGGGATTAGGTTTTGAAGAATGTGAAGATTGTTGGGGATTCATGGATTGCGGAGGTGGGCGCCTATATTATATAATATTATGAGGATAATTGGGCCTCCGGTAACCTAACTCAAACGACAAAACCCAACACAAGCGTTGTTTCACGTCGGTTTTCAGTGAGGCCTTTGTATCACTCCGGTCAAGCCGGTCCATTGGAGCCGAAGCATGGCTCTCCCAATATCTTAATGATTTCTCATTATCTTTATACACCTGTATGGTGAATGTCATACATGTTGTGATAAGGACTAGCTATAAAATGTTACGATAGTTTAGACGTGTAGAAAGGATGGATGAAAGTAGAGTAACGAAAGACGTATATGGAGGACCGTCGATAGAAGGCACCGTAGACGGATTATATTGACCACATTGGCGATATATTAAAGAAAGGCCAAATTAAAAATACCCTTAACCGACGAGTATGCATGAAAAGATTGATGACTGTTGATGAAGCTAAAGAGCTGTGTAAGAATCACAGCAATTGGCGTTCTATATTCTCTGCCTACCACAATAAGAGCCTAAAAGAAAAAGATAGATTTTGACATGAGGGAGCAGTGCCTCCGCACTGCTGGACTGGTTTCCTACTCCTTCAATCTTGCCCCCGGTTCTGCCATAACTACCAAACCTTAGTACTTAAAATTTAGAAGGCCGGCAATGCACTTGTCCTTGGGCGGCGCCGAATGTTAACTATCAGGTAATAAAGAAATATTGGTTAAGTACTCACCCAGTCTTAGGTTGAAGTCCTCCCATCGGAAGAGTGGCAGGTCCAGAACAGTTGCCAGCCTTAGCTTCCTCGACTGATGCGCACTGGGTGCCAGTGAAACCACCAGTAGCTAGAGACTCGCCCATGTAGAAGTAGGACCTGGAAGTAGGCGGAACTTTTGGATTGAACTATTTTTAACCGGCTTCAAAAAAGGAAGAGGTTATACGTTCGGCCGGTATGTTGCTATTTTTTTGTATGTATGTACGCGCATAACTCTGAGATGCGTGAAGCGATTTGCAAAATTCTTGTTTTGTTTGAAAACGTATACTCCCGAGATGGTCCCATTTCCATGAAGTCAGGATCTGATGATGGGATGCTCATATCATAATGATATAACTTAATGCCCACAAAATTGTGAATTAAGTACCTGTTAAGGTTTTAATGAATAATTTTGTATGGAACTTATGGCACCGACTTCTTAAGTTCTTACCTATCAGTGGGTGGGTAACCTATCAGTACTAATAATAGTTATTTTTTGCTTTTTAGTTTTGACTTTTTGTTTGTTATAGTTTTTGGTTTTTTGAAGTCAGTTTTTAAACGCAGTTTTTTTTTTAAAGGTAGTTTTAACTCGTTGGGTACCGTCATTATAGACACAATTAAAGAACAATAGGTTGAAGTCACCGGTGACCGCGCGGTGTTTGACAGTTTAAAGGCAGACTACCTCGTTTGCCGAGTGGTCTCGTGCGACTGCCGGGCAATGCCGGCCTGGACCTCAATGCAGGTTTGCGATTTCAAACTTGAAAATAACAAAATAAACGGTTTTATACAAATTATAAGTCTAGGTTTCCTGACGATGTTTTCCTTCTCCGTTTGGGATCGTACACAAAACTGCGATGCAACGTCGCATCGCAAAAATGTGCGAGCTCCCTCTACGCATCGCAAGAACTTGCGAATTGATTCGATTCGCGCATCAAAATCTTATTAATGATACACTAGACATAAATTTGTAGGAACTATTCGCTCTACACGTGGCACCCGACGAGAAATACCTCTTCGACAATTACATGGCGTGGTGTTTTGATAATGTACTGTAATGAGTTCGTATGCGCTTTCAAAGTTTGCTTTTTGCAATAGTTCACCAGTTATTTTTGTTTTTAACATTTTGTTTCTTTGTAAAATAGGGTAGATGCCTAATTTTTATTTTAATGTCCGTATGGTAGATTATTCTAAATCATTAGACACGTATTATATTTTATTATTTTATAGAATCGAATACTTTCGACGATATATTGATTTGAAATGTCGCGTGACATCACTTCTACGTACATTTTATACGTAGAAATGACGTTTTAGCCCCCACTCCTAAACTTTGATTCGTTTTATCTAAGTATTGTTTTATTATACGGCAAAATAAAAAAAAACGCTTCTAATATGTTTTCATTATCCCAATTATTGTATGACTGAGACAGGACCATGTTACCTAGAGACGAAAACGAAATAGATTTCAAGATGTATAATAATCTTCACCTGTAATGATCACAAACAGCTGTAGCACATCCAGGCATGTCAATTCCTCCATTAGGATAGAAGTCCACATCCCCAGCGGGTTCCTCCTGACCAATGTTACCGATATTGGTATGGATTACTTCGGTGTAGACTGCATCATCAGCGCGGACGGCCTGGCTGGAGAGCCAACGGTCTGCTGGGTCCATGGCTGGGTGGAGAAAGATGAAGGTTAAGTTAAAAATGTTGCTCTATCAGAAGATCCGATCACAAGAACTGAGGATAGCCACTTTTTTTTAAGCTGGGAAAATCATCGAACTACTGCTCCCGCCTGGGTGAGCCGCGAGGGAGTGTCAGACTCTTACTGACTAAAAACCACCCCGTTCCTTCTCCTGCACGTCGAGTCGGAGCCCCGGTAACACGTTAGGTTCTCCGCGACTAAATCTCAGTAGTAGCACTGAGTCTGGAATTGTGCCCGGTATATGGCAATAGGCTCACCTCCTATTACATGGGACTCATAACATAAATAGTGAAAAGTGGGTGTTACATTATACAGTGGCATAATGCGCACCTCTGCCTACCCCTTCGGGGATAAGAGGCGTGATGTTGTGTTATGCGTTAAAAGAAAATACCCCATCGATTTCTCACCAGTAAGATAGCTGGGACGGCCGAGCAGACTCCTTCCGACGATACCGGCCTGGTGAGCACCGACACTGTATCCCAAGATGTGGTAGTTCTCCACATTGGCGCCAGACGCCTGGTTCAACCAGTCGATGAAACGACCCACACTGCGACCTGGGGAGAAACAGGATATAAAAAATAAATATTCTTTCTTTATTTAAACAAGAGTTTATTTTTTTTCTTGTATAGAAGCACTATTTTATATGGATTGTCAGTATACATATGTGAGGACCATGTCAGACTTAAGATATTTGTTTTCTCTTGGTTTTGTTTTTTTTTTTTTCTATTTTAGTACCTATGTTTTGTTATTTGTATGTTGCGTCAGGTATGTCTTTACATTATTCTCACATGTGTGTACAATATTGGAATATGTATCAGAGCAATGTAAAACAGACTTTTTTTAAAAGAGTAACGAATGGAGTTTCGTTCTCGTTCTTCTCCACTCGAATCGACATTTTGGAACGAGCGCCTAGCTTCACTGACGGACAGACTGACAGACTATTATATATTTCATATTTGTTGACGTTTCAAAAGTACCAAATTATGGTTTAATTGAAATAAATGCTTTTGAGTTTGAGTTTGAATAAAATACAGATGTGTTTATTTCTTTAGATCTGTACAATAAGTGGCCAGGGCTCCCCAGAAAGTAATCCGGAGATACTAATGATGGGATAAACCTCGCTCCTCCTCCATTAATTACCATTTTTGTTTGTACTAATGAGGTACAAGTTACACATTTTTATCCTTATCCTTACTAATATTATAAATCGGGAAGTGAGTTTGTTTCTTTGTTTGTTTGTTCCGCTTTAACGCCGTAACTACTAAACCGATTGCTTTTAATTTTTGCAGACGTAAAGTTAGAAGTCTGGATTAAATAATAGGCTTTTTATCCCGGAAAAATTTGGTATTCTCGAGGAAAAACGAAATTATCGGTATAGATGGCGCTGTGTGTATTGGCATATGTCACATAGGCTTTTTATCCTTTTGTGATGCGTGCAAAGCCGCGGGTAAAAGCTAGTAAAACAATAAAAGAAAATAAATAAAAATGGCTGTGCGAAAACTAGAATGGATGGACTAGGAGGACGGTTCAATCAAGGATGCCACGTTTTCACAGTTCAGTTTCTTTGATACTTCTACTTTTATAAAAATTTGCGTGAAACCACAATTGTATTGTGTGCAATCGTGTGAGTCAGGATTCTGGCCAACTCCAACCTGTCCTCTAATTTATTATTGCATAAGCCGGTAAACGAGCCGACGGATCACCTGATGGTAAGCAATCGGCGTCGCCCTTGGCCACCAGAGACAACAGAGGATTAGGAGTTCGAGGATTGTTGGGGATTCAGTGATTGGTGAGATTGAGGAAGGGGATAGAAAAGAGCCTCCGGTAACCCCACTCACACGACGAAACACAACGCAAGCGTTGGTTCGCGTCGGTTTTCTGCTTGTTGGTGGTATCACTCCGGTCGAACCGGCCCATTCGTGCCGAAGCATGGCTCTCCCATACTTTAAACCTAATAACTTACTCCAAAACCAGGCAATGCATTAGTGTCTCTTCTGGTGTTGCATATTCATTGGCGGTGCCTATTGCTTACCATCAGAAGATCCGTCTTTTCCTTTCCCACCTTATATTGTAAAACAATTGTTTTACAGGTTCTTTTTATACAATGGGAGAAGTAAATGAGCTGACGGATTACTTGATGAAGTGATCAGCACCGTCCTGACATTATTTCTGTCTGATATTAAATTGAGGCCGAATTAGAAGTACCCTTAACCGACGAGCATGCATGAGAAGACTGATGACTGTTGATGAAGCGAAAGAAGTATGTAGGAATCGTAACAATTGGCGTTCTATAGTCTTTGCATAGCTCCATAGGAGACAAGCGTGAAGTCATGTATGTATGTATTAAAGATGAGTAGATATAGTCACATTGTTTGCCAGACTACGTGCATTAGTTACAGCTGTTTGCAGTCTATCATTCACTTAGTCACCTATATCAGGAGGTTGTTATCTCAAACGCTTACCTGAGCTGATTCCGTTGAATCCTAAGTGAGCACCCTTGCCCCAGTCGACCACAATGACGTTGACATCACCAGCCAAAATGAAAGCTGAAAGAGAAGATAATAATCAGAAGTTATTAGAAGAAGACTATCTCGTTGGCCGAGTGGTTGCTAGTGCGGCAGTCATTATTAAGGTAATTACTCTTTCCAAGGTGTTGATTCCTATGGAGAAGAACGAACAAGAAACTCCATAGGTACTCTCTTTCAATCAGGTTCACAATACAATTCTCTAGTTACATAGTACTGTTGGTTCGATTGTACGAGAACAATGTAATACCAAAATCCAGTCAAAGAGATCGAAAAATCAAATACCCGAAGGATAATAAAATACTACCTCGTTGGCCGAGTGGTCGCAAGTGCGACTCGGCAAGGGGTCTTGGATTCAATTCCCGGGTTGGACAAAGTATTACTGGGTTTTCAAAATTATTTTTTTGTCCACGGAGTCTGGAATTGTGGTATATAGCAATAGGCTCACCCCCTATTACATGGGACTCATAACATAAATAGTTAAAAGTGAGTGTTACATTGTACAGTGGCATTAAGTGTCGTCATGTGCACAACCGCCTACCTCTTCGAGGATAAAATGCGTGATGTTATGGTACGTTTATGTTTCATAAAATAATTATACAAGGTGTAATTTTGAAACCGTGTCATTTCTCGGGGGCATGTCACAGAAGTCATAAAGGTTCAATGTAAGAAAAAATTTCGGGCCAATAGTTAAAAATACGGCTATAGTAAATCGTTTAAGTTGGACAGTATTTCAGAATAAGCGACAGCAATGTTTCTTATTGGAGTTTTATGGAAGTAGGAATAATATCAATTACGTTTTTGAGTTTGTGTGTGTTATACCGCGTTATAAAACTAGTTACAAGTTACAAGACAAAGATTTGCGTAATTTAGAGAAAAATGAAAAAAAATAATATAGAATCGATAGCCGAGTTACCTCCTAGAAAATGACGCGGCTTTAAAACAACACCTTGTATAGGTATACGTTTTTGAACGCTCCCACGACGCAGGAGATACCAAGACTGGTGTAATTTTTTAACAAGGAAATGTATAACTTACCGGGAACGAGTACTGTGTTGAATCCACTGAGGATGTTTCCGAGGAACCCGTGGATCAGGATGATAGTTCTCTTGTTGGGGTTGAAGTGGCTGGCGGCGAGGAGGGCGTTGTTACCTTGGACGATAGGCTGGCTCACCAGTGGGTTGGACCTGGAAGAGAAGTGGAATGTTAACTGCTGTTTTATTGTTCCCTGCCTTTACTGGTGATTGTCCCTAATTTTGTATCACCTCCATTTTATAATGACTGCCTCATTAGCCGAGTGATCGCAAGTGCGACTGCCGAGCAAGAGATCTCGGGATCAATACCCGGGTCGGGCAAAGTATTACAAGGTTTTTAAAAAAAAATCAGTAGTAGCACGGAGTCTGGAAATGTGGCTGGTATATGGCAATAGGCTCACCCCCTATTACATGGGACTCATGGCATAAACAGTGAAAAGTGGGTGATACATTGTATAGTGGCTTTCAGTGGCGTAATGTGCTCTGCGTATCCCTTCGGGGATAAAAAGCATAATGTTATGCTTGATAACAACTTACAGTTTGGCAAAAAAGAGATTGTAATAATAGAGGTCGCTAGTATCGTACCTGTGGCAACCTGCCTACAGTACGACTGAACTGGTTTTGATATTTGTTATTTTAATCGAGTTTAAAAAGAGGAGGTACTGTGTTCGGATGATCGTTTATTCATGGGATGTGGTCCGAAGTGGGTGATTCAGTCCAAGTCTGTATTAGTTCCAGCTGTCGCCGCGTCAAATTCTTTATTACCAAGCTCTAAATTCGATCTTAACTTTAAAATAATGCTTACCTGGTGTACAGATGATACTCGTTGTCTACATCAGGGTTGTATCTAGCCATGTCCCTGAGGTCGCTGGCTTTGATCCAGGAGTCGACCAGGTGAGGATTTCCTTCATCGTCCCTGATGTAACCATAGCGAAGACCTTCAGGGTTCAGCTTCGTGATCACCGGGTCCACTGCCGCTGGGATCGCTGAAGATGGAAAAGAGAATTGTGATTTGAGACTGGTGATTTTGTTTTTAAAATAACTATCGTAAAAAGCTGTACTATTTTCGAACCACAGAGGGGTTAGTAAGCTGCGCGAAATCGCAGTAACCGCGCTCGCTGCTCATGAGGAAGAACCCTTCTGTGGCTCGAAACTAGTAGAGCTTTTCTGAGTATATTCACGTGAGTAACTCGCGATTTTTAGTTCACTGGTGATGCGATAGTAAAATTAGTCTTAAATTTTATTTAAACATATCAAAGTTAAAGTCAAAGTCAAAGTCAAAATCATTTATTTGAAATAGACCAGGTGGCTTACTCCTGAATCCAATTCCGATCGATTGACATTGATATTGTGTCGTAATCTTGAGTTGCAACACTAGCGCCCTTTGCATCCGTATTGCGTGGATATTGAATGAACTAAATGGTATTGAGTTTAGACCAAATATCCAGAGAGCTGGATATTTGGTCATACCTATGAATGTTGCAATTCACCAAGCAACGGAACGAGATAAGTGGCGACATCTAGTGAGCAAAATCAGAAGGAGTCACGATCCTCAGCAGTGAGGGAATCGACTAGGGAGAACAAGGTAACATTCACTCTTCACCAGTTATGTCTGAGCACCAGTATCGGACTTATCTATCATCGTCATCAACAGCGAGTGACAGTCCACTGCTGAGCAATGAGCCTCCTCTACATAAGAAGGTTTGTAAATAGTACCTTAGCAAATATTGTACAGTGGCTTAACATAAATAACTTATCAATGAATGTCGATAAAACTAAAATAATGAATTTTAGAATACGCAAACAACGCATTGATCATTTGACTGTACAATACCAACATAGGAAAATAGATGAAACTGAAGTTACAAAATTCCTGGGCTTAAATATAGACAATAAAATTAACTGGAAACTACACATTGACCATGTTTGTAAAAGGCTGAACCAATTCTCATATGAGTTCATGATTTTAGAAGACTCAGAAAAGTTGCAAATCAAACTACCCTTAAGACAGCGTATCATGGTTATGTTGGATCAACCCTAAGATATGGCTTAATATTCTGTATAGTATCGAAGATATTTAATAATATTTCGGGAGATATAAGACAGATCAAAGAAACAACCATATTTAAAAAGAAATTACATGACATATTGGTGAATAAATGTTATTATACTATAAACTAGCTTCTGCCAGCGGCTTCGCCCGCGATCCCAGGGGGAAAATGCCAATGTATTACTTCACACCATATTCTACCTCTGTTCCGAATTTCATTCCGGTCCCATCAGTCGTTTTAATATGACTGAGTAACAAACATTAAGCCTGCACACGCGACGGAAGCTTAAAAAATGGAGTAACTTCTCCCGTTTTCCCAATATTTCCCTTCACTGCTCTGCTCCTATTATTCGTAGCGTAATGAAAAGTATACTATAACCTGCCCAAGAGTATGAAGAATAATTGTGCTAAATTTCGTTAAAATCCGTCGAGTAGTTTTTGTTTCCATAACGAACATACAGACAGACAGACAGACAGACAAAAATTTTACTGATTGCATTTTTGGCATCAGTAGCGATCCCTAACCACCCCTTGATAGTTATTTTTTAAATATATTTTATGTACAGAATTGACCTCTCTACAGATTTATTATAAGTATAGATGATTACCTAAATGACAAATCCCTGCTACAATATTCTATACCTAAATCATGACGTGTTCAGTATTTACCTATTGTACTTATTTTACTAAATAAATCATAATAAATATTTGACATAAGCATTTATCGACATGACATATGTACCTCTAATTTATCTAATAATTTCTTGTTTTATTACCTCTATATAATTGACTTATTTGAACATTAATATTGTACCCAACTATTGTACGCCCTATGGGCAGGACACAGCTGAGCTCAACTAAATTAGTATAAAAGATTCAGGTGTATCAGAGAGCGCTACTGCCTGGCGTCTGTCCTAGTCTCTTAGTCGGGTATAATACACCCGGGAGAAGAGGAGCGGTGGTAAAACATTTTTTTTACTCTACCGTCATTACACGACAAGACTAAAGATAGGTATTATTGTTTTTTATATTTTATCGAAATGGATTAACGTATTTTATCCACTTTTGGTAAAACCAGTCGGCAACGAAAAGAATTATGATTAAAAAAAAAACATCATCAATAAATTATTGTAACAATTTTAATCTTTGACTTCCGCACGTGTTTCGATAAACAAGATTAGATCTTGCGCCTCATATCTTAAGATCGTAATTACTTTATAATCTCATAGGTATGCTACTAGTTAATATTTTCGTACTTTGGGTTAGGAGAACTGATTATGTTATCTGTGGCTTTGACAGTTGCGAATTCGCAACATTGTTTATGGCAAACGAGCTGACAGATCACCTGATGGTAAGCAATCAGCGTCGCCCAGGGACTCCTGGAACACTAGAGGCGTTACAAGTGCGTTATGAACCTTTTAACATGGAGTTATTGAAGGTTCTAATGATCTGGAACTACTGGAGGCGGTAGTACATTCTCATCATTAGCATCATCAACAGGAAATTATAATGATACTAGCTACTTTCGCGCGGTTTCACGCGCTCTGCTCAGCTGTTATTAGTCGTAGCGTGATGTTTTATAGCCTATAGCCATCCTCGATAAATGCGCTATCCATCACAAAAAAAAATATTCAAATCAGACTTGTAGTTACGGAGATTAGCGCGTTCAAACAAACAAACAAACTCTTCCGCTTTATATAATAGTATAAGATAATTCCCTGTTTTTATAATAACTATCGTGAGACATATTAAATTAATTAAAATTACGGGTTACTCACGTGAATATACTGAGGAACAGTCACTGAGTGAGCTGCGCGACGTCGCCGCGATCGCGCACGCTGCTCATGAGGAAGAACCCCTCTGTGGTTCGAAACTAGTAGAGCTTTTCTCAGTATATTTACGTGAGTAACCCGTGATTTTAGTTAATTTGTTATTGTTAATGAATTTACTTACAAAGTGACCTCACGGTCGCTAGCTAGCTAGCTAGTAAGCTCATATCATAATGATATAACTGAATAACCATAAAATTGTAAATTAGGTATATATTAAGGTTTAAATGAATAATTTTGTATACAACTTAATTATGGCGCCGACTTCTAACCTATCAGTGGGTGGGTAACCTATCAGTACTAATAATAGTTATTTTTTGCTTTTTAAATTTGATTATGACTTTTTGTTTGTTATTAATTTTTGGTTTTTTGAAGTCAGGTTTTTAAACGCAGTTTTTATTTCATTATTTTATGATTATTTTTCCATAGAACTTTTTTATTTATTTTGGGCTATTTATCCATATGGATACACCAACCCCATCGTATCGAACCCTCTTAGTTACATATGACTTAAAATATGTCATCAGCAGTGAAAAGTACTTTTTTCAATCTCTGCGGGGATTAAAAGCAATGACGTTATGTTACCTGGGGATTAATAATTACGATAGTTAATCACCATACCTGACACAGCAGCGATTATAGCGGAGACCACCAGTACACTAAGAGCCACCATTTTGTAATGTCAATTACATAAACAGTTTGTCGCTTTATATATCAATTAACATAGATTTACTTATCTATACATATATACAGATACATATAATTGGACTGTCTGTTTGTAATATTAAAATAACCGCTTTCTACTACATGCATATGAATATACAGATGATATTTATTTTTTTGGATCAAGCCCGCCACAACCTTTCAAAACCGGTGCAACTTCTGTACACCAGGATCTACAGTAGATACAACCATGAAAACACCGGAACACTGAAGTCTAACGTCCCAGGGACATGAGTAACTGCAACGAAATTAAGTACTGGCCTTAATGAAAAACAAACTATTTCGACTGTTCAATACAATAAAATGTAAAAAAATAATCACACTTTCATTAATTGATTTTATGACCGACTTAAGTATTTATCAAGCACATGTTTAACAAATAAGTACGCTGTTTGACGCTAAAAAATAAAAAACTGCGTTTAAATAAACCAACTTCAAAAACGAATGACTAACGAAAAGAGAAAACTAAAAAAAGGAAAAAAATAACGAAGTATTATAGCTTACACACCCACTGATAGGTTAGTTAGAAGCCTCCTCCTTTTTTTGAAGTCGGTTAAAAACACGTGACGTCACAATACACAATCTCGTACAAAATTCATAATCTACCAAAGGCACTTGCCGTACTTATGTGACTTTTTCCCGGCAACCATTTCTTTCATAATTTGACTGTATATAACTTTATCACATTAACTAAAAATAGCGGGTTATATACTGAGAAAAGCTCTACTAGTTTCGAACCACAGAAGGGTTCTTCCTCATGAGGAGCGTGCGTGAGTAACCCGCGATTTTTACTTAATTTAGTATGTCTCACGATAGCTATTATAAAAACTTTGTCACAGTTATTTAGTCGTTCTAATGACATTTTGCTTAAAGTTTGCAATTGTCTTCTTTATCTTCTTAAAACATAAGTTTCCGGCTATTTTCCAATAGTTAACTATACTTTCTAAGATTATTCAGACACCACTGACAAACGTTGAAGGAAAACATCGTGAGGAAACCTGGACTTATAATTTCGAATTATAAGTTTGAAATCGACAACCCGCAATGAGCAAGCGTGGTGGTTAAAGCTCAAACCTTCTTCATGTGAGAAGAGGTATTGCTCAACAGTAGGTATTTATAGGCTGTTGATGTATGAGTAACAAAAATACACACACTCTTTCGCATTCATTATAATAATTAATTGACTTTTAGTGTGGGAGAGCCATGCTTCGGCACGAATGGGTCGGCTCGACCGGAGTGATATCATCAACGAGCAGAAAACCATAGTAAAGCAACGCTTGCGTTGTGTTTCGTCGTGTGACTGAGGTTACCGGAGACCCAATTATCCTCCCCTTCCCTAATCTCCCCAATCCCTGAATTCCCAACAATCCTCTAATTCCTAATCCCCCAAAAGTTCGGTTACGTAATTATAACACCGCTGGTGTTCCAGGTATCTATGAGCGACGCCGATTGCTTACCATCAGGTGATCAGTCTGTTCGTTTACCGGTTTATCCTATAAAAAAAGACTTAATTTATCGATACACTGCACCGATAATGCATTTTCGAAAATACTCCGCATTGCGTAAATGATGAAAAAATCGGTACTTGTAATCAGTATCACCCAAGTAATTATAATGGACTTACATCCTCTTGTTTGTTTAAAGATAAGATTAGGTACAATAAATTAATTAATACGCGAATTTTTAGTAAACAACGTTGATAATAGGCGTGTCGACAGGGTAAAAAAATCAAAAAAGTAATTAGTCCGTCATTAAGATCGCACGAAAATATCAGACAGTATTTTTTGTTTTATCAAATTAACAGAAGAATACGTAGTTATTCCGCATTAAAGTTAGGGAGTGGGGGGTGTTGACGTCACACTTACGGAGAAATCGTACCTAATTGTGACGTCACGCGTCATTTTAACTCAAAATATCTACATGTTTTTTTGGATACGAGAAAAAAGAAAAAATACGTATCGAAGATTTTTAAAATATCTAAAAGACGGACAAAAAATTAAAAAATAGTCGCCATGCCTATTGTGTTTTTATGACGTAACGTGTTTAATACAGCTTCTGCCAGCTTCGCCCACGTTGCCGGGGGTAAAAAGTAGCCTAATACAGTGAAACTTGGTTAAGTGGGACCTGGATAGGTGAGAAACCTCAATAACTGGAACTCATGCTGAGGTCCTAACACTTTGGCACTGAATTACCTCTATTAGTGGGACGAGGTAAACCTCTATATCTGGGATTTGTTCTTTTGATTTATCATCATAGTTACCTCTATAGCTGAGACAGCGAGTAAATTTTTTATGCATAAACCTCTGATAACATTGTTTGTTTACTTATTTTTATTCTACTTACAAATTCCACACGTAATTCCAAGTCCACCTCTATTAACTCGTCGAGTACCGGTTTTGTAGACACAATTATAGAACAATAGGTTGCGGTCACCGGTGACCGCTTGGGGTTTGACAGTTTAATGGAACCTTCTGTAAATGAGACAGATATTTATGTATACCTGTATATCTGAGACACTGGGTAAGTGGAATACCTCTATAAGTGAAACGACATTGCAGGTCCCTTGATGTCTCACTTAACCAGGTTTCACTGTACTATGTATATTTTTTTCCTGACTGCCTCGGTGGCCGAGTGGTTGCAAGTTCGACAGACCAACCGCAGTTTCCTGCGGGCCCGTAACCGCGGCTGGTGCGGGAGAAAGCTGCGCCCGCGCGATTTTATATTGACGCTATGAAAATATATGTCATGCAACATACGATTTAAAGTTCATATTTAAATGACAATGAGTAGAAACCATGGCGGAGTCGTGCTTGTTAGATGTGCAATTCCCTCGAAAAAGGTCTCGAAGACACTATCTAATAATTTACATAACTTCACGCCTGTCTCCCATGGGGGTAGGCAGAGACTAAGGAACGCCAATTACTACGATTCTTACATACTTATTTCGCTTCATCAACGGTCATCAATCTTTTCATGCATGCTCGTCGGTTAAGGGTACTTTTAATTTGGCCCTTCTTTAATATATCGCCAATCTGGTCAATCTAATAATTTATTTACATACATACATAACATCACGCCTTTTATCCCAGAAGGGGTAGGCAGAGGTGCACATTATGCCACTGTACAATATAACACTCACTTTTCACTATTTATGTTATGAGTCCCATGTAATAGGGGTTGAGCCTATTGCCATATACCGGACACAATTCCAGACTCTGTGCTATTACTGAGAATTTTTTTTAAAACCCCAATAATACTTTGCCCGACCCTTGACGTTAATTTTAAGTACTTTGTACCGGATGATGTGACGTCAACATTCTTGTGACGTCACAATAACAGAACACAGTAATTGTAGATAAATTATCTATGATAAAATATAGACTAATTATTATTTAATCTAACGCACGAGTGACTGTGGCATTTTTTATTTGGTTTAGCACTTAAAGTAATTGTGTCCATTGCTGAATCGTAAGATACCTATACAGGTATCTATACAGGTATCTATACATAAGATACCTATACAGGGATGATGACAGGGTATGAAAATTAAAAATATAATTAGTCCGTAAGTTGGGTAATTAAAAAACATTAGACACGTATTTTTTTATTTCGTCGTATAATAAAACAATACTTAGATAAAACGAATCAATGTTTAGGAGTGGGGGCTAAAACGTCATTTCTTAGTATAAAATGTACTGAGAAGTGACGTCACGCGACATTTCAAATCAATATATCTTCGAAACTATTTGTTTCCGTAAGAAAATAAAAAATACGTGTCTAATGTTTTTAAATAATCTACCAGACGGACATTAAAATAAAAATTAGTCGTCTACCCTAATATAGGTACACCGCGAAATCTATTTCGTTTTCGACCCGAAGTAAAATAGTTCTGTCTTAGTAATACAATGGTTTTACAAAGAAATAAAATGTTTAAAACAAACAATAACTGGTGAACCATTACAAAAAGCAAACTTCGAAAGCGCATACGAACTCATAGTACATTATCAAAACATCACGCCATGTAATAGGCATGGCGACTATTTTTAAATTTTTTGTCCGTCTTTTAGATATTTTAAAAATCTTCGATACGTATTTTTTCTTTTTTCTCGTATCCAAAAAAACATGTAGATATTTTGAGTTAAAATGACGCGTGACGTCACAGTTAGGTACGATTTCTCCGTAAGTGTGACGTCAACACCCCCCACTCCCTAACTTTAATGCGGAAAACAACGTATTCTTCTGTTAATTTGATAAAACAAAAAATACGTGTCTGATATTTTCGTGCGAACTTAATGACGGACTAATTACTTTTTTGATTTTTTTACCCTGTCGACACGCCTATTATCGAAGAGGTATTTCTCGTCGGGCGGTACGTACGATGCGAATAGTGCCTACAAATTTACGTCTAGTGTTTCATGTGCGTATTTCTATGAAAAATTGTTTTAAACTAAAAAATATTGTTTATATTTTGGTTTTTACTTTACATAACATACATACATAACATCAAGCCTTTTATCCCCGAAGCGGTAGGCAGAGGTGCACATTATACCACTGTACAATGTAACACCCACTTTTCACTATTTATGTTATGAGTCCCATGTAATAGGGGGTGAGCCTATTGTCATATTTTTACATCGAAATTATATTAAATACTTTACTCGACCCGGAAATCCAACACGAGACCCCTTGCCCGGCAGTCGCACTTGCGACCACTCGGCCAACGAGGCAGTCATATCGCATTTTACTGAATAAAATTGAACTGGGCAAAAACGACACAACATAGCGAAATACATCTCTTCGACAAAATATTTATACAAGATTAAAAGTGAGAGTGTTTTAAACACTTCAGCTGACCCTCTCTGACACAAGAAAGGTTGAAGATACAAGGGGTATGAGTGTTTGTACAGGCCCGGCTTATCTCCGGTCAAGCAGTCCGGTAGAGTTGGGGTTCGATACAGTTGTGGACAAAAGTGTTACA